TCTTTGCAACTTCCTGGCATCTTCTTGGCAACTTTCAGGATCCTTCAACTCAAAGGACCATTTTCTGACGTTCCTGGTGCACACTGTGTGGCAGGAGAGGGTGGACAACCATGAAGTCGTTTCATTCGAAAGCATGTCTTGCGAAGGGCATGCTTGCTATTACTTCCATGGGACTGTTGGCGATGCTCTTAGTATCTGCAATATACATGAAGGACAGCCCGTCCATAAATTCCGACCCTGGTCCAACGAACATTGCGGCAGAAGAGAACAGCTACTCGTGCAGGTCGTGGCGCACCTCGGTTAGTCACTGCCCCTCGCCGGCCTTCGAGTCGTTTTACAAGACCTACACTGCGCGGGCATCGGCAGTTCTGCGCTCTGGCAATTTTTCGAATGCCCAGTTCCTTGTTCATGTCTCAGGGCCATGGGGCGTAGGAAACCGGCTGACCTCACTGGTTTCCGCCTTCCTGATCGGTTTCTTGACGGACCGCATTGTTCTGACAAACTATCCTGATTTTTACCACTTTTATGATCCGGAAGGCCTGCCGGACATTCACTTGAATACGTATGCCCAACGGTTGGAAGCTGATCCGAGGTTCGCGGCGGAGGATTCGAACCTTACCCTTCAGTGCACGGACGAGTTGCCTGAGCTCCTCGCATCGGGTAACCTATCGCGAGTCTGGGAAAGCAAGCATAACATCATGTTCTGGTGCCAGGACTACTCGCTTCCCTATCTTTTGGTGAACCCTGTGTACTCCAACATCCTGAGCAATTTCTTTCCGTCTTTCGAGCCGTTCCACGACATCGCAACCAAAGTGTTGAGGCCGAGCATGCGGATGCAAGAGGTGGTGAACTCGTTCGTGAAGATGAACTTCATCAAGCACAAGCAGATGATCGGCGTGCATGCTCGCTTCTTAAAGCATATTCCCAGGCATAAGGTTCCATTGAGTGCGGTCTACAGTTCCTTTGCCGAGTCGCTGCAACTTAGATTACACTTGCCGGATCGCGATGTGGGCTTCTTCATTGCGACAGACAGCAACCACGAGCGAGAAGAGATCATGCGGCAAATCAAGGGTTCGACGGCCATGATCACAGCCAAGTACGTATATTACTTAAGGTCAAATAAGCTGGAGGAGTATCACACCTTTGACAATCCGGGGACGGAGGAGTCGGCACACACCGACCTGTTTCTGCTTGCCTCGTGTCAGCACCTTGTGGTCACTTTCTCGAGCTCGTTTGGCCAAGTGGCAGCTGGACTTGGCGGCATCCCTGCGTACTCTGTCATTGGTGCGCCTGAAGACGGGTGGGGAAGCCATGTTGCTTGGGTTGCGGCCGGTGCGAGTTCGGAGCCGTGTCCATACCTCATGAAGAGAATGATGGAGGTGAAGTGGGATGAACCATGGGCCCACAGATTCAGAACCCTGCCCTCATGGGTCCATTACTCTCAATGCCATCACTATTGCTGACGGCTCGAGCAAGCATAAAAGGTACGTACGTGTTTCCGATCTTATCTCGCCGAGAGGGTTGACGTTCACATCAGCTGTCCACCCAGGCAAGGAGAGGGGAGGGGCTCTGAGTGGTACTTCCTTCTTCACTGCACTCTCCTTGTCGCTTCCGTGTGACGTGTTGACACAACAGCGCTTCGGTTCCGGCTCTGGTGATTACCTGGTTGCCTGATTTCTATACTTACCTCCCTCCCTCCCTCCCTCCCTCCTTCCCTCTTTCCCTCTTGCCCTCTTTCCTTCCTCATCCCGTGCCTTCGCTTCCCTTTTTCTGATCACTATGTTATGAATCAAATAGGCTTATTATTCGGTGTCGGGCTATGCCATGTCTTTTATGATGTTTTTGCGCTCCTTTAGTAAGTGTCCATAGAGGAGGGAGGAGAAGGTTGCTTTTTCTCCAGCTCCAGGACGCGATGACTCAGTAGTCGTAAGTAACTCTTGCTCGAGTTCTCTTCGGTCGATCTGCTTCCCTTTCTGATTTCATTTGCATGAAAATGCAGTGATTATATCCCCTAGGTAGCCTCATGGCTCCTTGTTCTGAAAAACATGGCCTCATCGTCGCAACCCCAGCTCCAGGATGCGATGACTCAGTCGTAGTAAAACTAACTAACTGTCGCTCGAGTTCTCTTAGGAAGAGAGAGCGGTAGGTAGAACCAATCCGCACTTTCGGATTCCGTTTTACGTGAAACGCAGTGATGCTATGCTATGCTATCAAAAGCCGCATGGCTCATTGCTCGGAATAACATGACCTGAGTCATGGTCGTGTCGTGCTGCCTTTCAGTTATGGGAAGCACAAGCGTTGGCTTCTTTTCTTTGTGCTTGTCATCAGTCGATGGCTGTAACCCGTATTCCTTTGTTTACGTGGCTGCAGCGCACATCTGGCACACTTTCTCTATTGGTGTTTGTCATCATTGCCTTTGTATAAACATGATTTATTCTCTCTCTGTTGATGTCGTTTGCTTACCACTGCTGGTAGCAAGGCGATGTCTGAAAAAGGAGAGAAGGAAGAGGGAGGTGAGTCTACTGTTTCACTTTTGCCGGTTCAGGTGCGCCTTTGACTGACGTCAGTACCGTGTGGATTACTGGCGGTCTGTTCCCAACCTTTTTGAGTCATCATTGATTTACGTTTTATCAGAGTTTATTTATAGATCGGACGGAGAAACTCGAATTCGCTCGGATGGTGAAGAATGTGTGGTGGGTGGGCACTGGTGGCTAGATTCAGGATTACTCACACTACTTTTTTACTTGTTTCTGGATGTAATTGCAGTCGTATACATCCATGTTGGGCGTAAATGCGGTCAGGCACATTCGGGATAGAGCTAATGTGAGTGCTCCCACAGAAGATTATCGACTTTGGCAATTGGTCTGAAAAAATTCTACAGCTCAGCAGTTTTAGTGAAGCCAGCCAAATGTCCCTGGGGCTTTGGCCGAATTGGGCAAGCTTACGGGCAATAAGGTCTTGATGGTCCTAATTGGCAGTTTTTGGGGGACATGCCAGCGGCAGAGGAGACGGGTGTCCTTGTTTACCGTGGCGGAAGGGCCTACGGGTATCGGCAGTTTTTTGTCAAACATTCCTTTCCCAATGATATTGGAGACAGCGAGGGGGCGGGTCTTTGCACAAGGACCGTAGTTGACGTCCATCGTCCGTGTTTTTCTTGTGGGACCTTTACGGAGGTTTTCGCTGCGATGCTCGCCAGCTATTGGGTTTGTTGCATTTTTTTAACTTTCTTGTTCGGAACTTTTTCTTCTTCTTTTTGTTTTTTTTTGTTTTTCCCCTGCCATGCAGACTTGGACCAGGACTTCGGTTTGTACATACGGTGGCTTTGGAAGGAACAGGGGGTCTGAGGCTCGTAACGTTTGCGTATTTTCTGATATTTTTCGGAGAAAATTCGGACCATACTTGCGGCGTGTAGGTGAAGTGCGGTGCACAATATGCTGCACGGTGCGCTAATCCCAGATGCGCATGCCCGCGCGCGCGCAAAAAAAAAAAAGGAAAAAAAAAAAAAGCAACCGTGATGTGTGTATACACGCTGGAGAGAGAAGGAGAGAGAGAGACAGAGACAGAGAGAGAGAGAGAGAGAGAGAGAGAGAGAGAGAGAGAGAGAGAGAGAGAGAGAGAGAGAGAGAGAGAGAGAGAGAGAGAGCACATAGCCCTTTCACATCATTCAGACAACCCCTGCGGGTACTTCCAAAGGTCCCTGGCAAACATTGGCAAGGGTCCTGTCGGCAGGAGCGGGGCGGTCATTGGACGGGTCGTCACTGGACTTGTAGTAAGGAGGGAGCAGGCCAGCTATATATGGTGTAGCTTGAAATTCAGGTCCGTGTTTCAGCAGTTATGGGTTACGAACTTACTAACTCGGCATGTGATTTTCAGGGCTTCACTCCACTACTCACCAAATGTGCAAAACTAGAATGAGTCTTCTCCTAGAAACTGGAACCATACAAGCCATCCGTTTTTCTTTTCTGGAGTGCTGACGAGTGGAGCTAGGCCCTTAGGGTCACTGCTCGTAAGAAAAGCGGAAAAAAAAAAACGAGACGACTACTGAAGTGTTTGTGGTAAGTTCGTAACCCATAACTCTTGGAACACAGACCTGAATCTGAATCCAGGATATATTGCTGGCCTAGAAAGGGTAGGTCTTCAGCAGTCCAATGGACATCCTTCCAAAAGCATGGAAACCCTGCTAATTACTTGCAGCCTTGCAGGGTACTTTGTCGTAAGGAGAATATAACCAAAATGAGTAGAGTACGAAGAGGGCCCAAAATATTATCTTTCTGTGCACTTACCCTTTTTAAAAGGGAGGGACACTTATGGGTACCATGACCTACCCTTTCCGATTTTTTTTTTTTTTTAATTATTGTTTTCTAAATGCGTCACATCACGTGCACGCGCAAGTGTGCGCATGCGCTGTGCGGCGCACGTGCGCAACTTGCGCGCATGTGATGCGCCGCATGTATGCTTCGGACGGTTTTCGCATGGTTGGCAATTCTGAGAAAGTAGCAGTTGTTGGTTTCTCAGATAAATCAGAATAGTATTTACTATTTTACCATTTAAACGTCGTTTTTTTTTTGTTTCTTTTTCTCCCCATTGGCTTAAACCACTAGTACCTTTGCCGTTTCGTTTCAGCAAGTTTTAGCCCAGTCCCGAACTTTAGGAGGCTGGGCCCGACAACAGCCGCCGTTGATAAATCTGATCGACGGCCGTCGTTTCGTTTCCGCCGCCACCTGAAAGGTTGGAGGCCCACTCACTATTTTCCGAACCGACAAAGGTACTAGTGGTTTAAAAAAGAGCCTGGAGGGAAGGTAAAGAGGGAAGGTAGAGGGAAGGTAGAGGGAAGGCAATCTGACACGCAATTCTCCAGCCTGAGGCATCTGGAGCAATCAATGCTTATCAGGGGTCCTTTTGCCAAACGGAAGGAAGTGTGACGGTGTTCTTGTTGTGTTTCTCACTTGCTGGTGGAATAGGAAGCAGACTGGTGCTCCCCAGAATGAATATGGACCCAGGGCTATAAGGACCTGGTTTTTCACTGTTTAGAAAATCAAAACAGAAAAAAACGAGCCTTCGGCGACACACAGTGTGGCCTGGGCAGAAGCATTCATATGAATGAATTCATCGTTTGGGACGCTTGCGTTTGTAGGCCTATGAAGCGGTAGAGGGGTTCGACGTTGCCGAAAGGGGGATCTCAGAATATGGAAAGACAGAAAAAAAAAGGGGTGCGGAAGGAGAAGGCTGGTCTTCGGAATGGAGTGTGAGGTGATAATGTTGCACTGCTGAGTACAAACTTGGATCGTTTTTTTTTTTTTTCCGGATTGGATTTCGTCTCTTTGCTATGCCATGCTGGTTGTATGAATGGAGGTGTTTGTCATTGCTGTGCGCTGATCGCGGCGACAGACAGACTGTGTGGCCGCAGTCCGCCTCTGCTCTGCTCTGATCCCCAATGGGACAATGCGTAGGGAGCCAAGGATCCGCAATGTGATGAGAAGGACTGAAATGGACAATGCAAGGTCAGCGTAGCATCAACAAACAATGTACATTCCAATACATACAAGATGGCACAGCGGAAAACTTTAAAGAGAAGATCTGATCTGATCTGGACTGACCCGACATTCATCATACATCACACATGTGAGAGGGGAGGGACCGCAATCACAGAAGAAAGGTCCCTCCTTCACACACGTACATGGGGAGATGCCACAGATGAGAGATGGGGGGAAGGGACGAGACAAAGGAGAAGGAGGCGAGGGAGTAGACCAAGATCGCGATAGCGAAGTCCCAAAAATAGTCCCTTGCCGAGTGTTCAATCAATGTCTGTTCCAGAAATGTCGAATCAGATCCTGGGCAATGTGCCCAACATAACCTCTGCCTGTATCTCCTGCCGATAATCTCTCTCACTCTCGTATGTGAAGAAGAGATAAGAATGAGGAGGAAGGGAAGAAGAAGGAAGAGAGAGAGATGGAAGAGGAAGAAGAAGAGGATGACGTCCACCTGGCTATCTCACCTGCAGGTCGCTGTCACCGTACTGACTATGGTCGTCGTCGTGTGCAGGTACCGCGTGGAGCCCAGCTATGGCGCCAGGTAAGCTCGCCGCTTGCAGGTAAGGCCTCCGCCTCTCTCTACTACCTACGCCACTACTCCCTACTCCGGAGCTTAGCGCAGACTAACGCTGCCGCCAACCAGCAGCGTGTCGCTCCAGAAGTGAGCCACTCGAACTGTCCCTTGCCCAGCCGCTGCCCAGCTTTTTGTAGTGCTGGGCTGGCTGGGCCTACCTGATGCTGGCCTCAGAAAACGGCCCAGCTGGTCTGGGTCCCTACTGGACGTCCAGACCATGCTGCTGATGCAGCAAGGCGCAGAAATGCGCCTGGCCTAAAAACGGCCCGGTACCTGTGCACCTAGCCCAAGGCGTCGCCTCGGGACCTGCAGGACCGAAACGACGCCTGTACCTACCGGTTTGGCGCCAAAATGCGCCTGGCCTTGTTTCGGGCCTGCCTCCGGTGTACCCAGTCCCAAGGTCCGGCCTTGGGGCTGCAAGTCCGAGGCGGCACCTGACAGACAAAGTAAGACAGCACACACACACAAAAAGGTAAGTAAACTAAACCTATCTAACTAGTGTGCTACCTAGGGCCTGAAGGGCCGCCGTGGGCCTCCAGGGCGCGTGCTGTATGGTACGCGGCCTTGGGGCCCCTCAGCAACCGTCGGGCCCCTCAAATGGGGCCCGTGTGCAGGCGCAGCATGCAACAGCTCTGTAGGTCAGATCAGTAACTTGTGCTGAAATGCAGCTGAGGGGGCATGTTAGCAGTAGACCTTTCCAGGGTGAATCTGACCAAAAAAAAGGACCAGATTCACTTGAAGAAATCCCATTTTAATTGTGCTCCATGCCAATGGTGTTTCTGGTGATTGATGCAAAATTCAGTACCACTATACTACCACGGCCACGTAGGCCTTTTCTCTTTTTTGAACTCCAGTCCGATCCTTTAGAATTTTTAAACGAGGGAAAACTACCGTAGGGCGCTGTCACGGTTTGAGTGTGAAAATGCTTTTCGGTCACGATTTTCGCGAATGTTCTGTCAAACCGAGGAAAATCGTGAATGTATACAACCCAGCTTTAGGGTCGGGTGCGGATGTGTTGTACTCATGGCAGCGATCCGGACCTCCGGACAGGGATCCGGACCGTCTGGTGTCCGGTGTCCGGTGAACGTGTCCGGATCCCGGTCCGGATTCCAGACCCTTTGGCCAACGGCCAATTTTTTTTTTGGCTGTCCAGGGCGTTTCGTCTCGCCCAGGGCCACCAGCCAAAAATACGAGCATATTTTTTTTGGCCCTGAAGGGGCATCCGGTAGGGCCAGAATTATTTTTTTTTGCCTGTGGGAAGTTTTCTTCCTTCTATGTTTCTGCCCGTTTGAATGCCGTCCTTGCRTCGTGGCAGCTTCGTAGTGGGCACAGTCTTTGAATTCATCCTCCCGCCTTGCGAGTTCGGCCGCCCCCCTCCCACAACAACGTTTGAGCTTGCATGCCCGCCACTACCACCATTGTCAGAGGGAGGAAGAAGCAGGTCAACGAGGCGGCCATAGCAGGCAAGGAGCAGACRCGGAGCAGGCGCAGGAGAGCTGGCASTGGGTGCAGCGAAGGCCACGCGAGGAGCCCAGCAAGGAGCAGTGGAAGCAGCTCTCTCTCTCTCTCTCTCTCTCTCTCTCTCTCTCTCTCTCTCTCTCTCTCTC